ACACACCGCGATCACACACACCGCGATCACACACGCCGCACTCATACACACCACGATCACACACCGCGATCACACACCGCGATCATACACCGCGATCACACACGCCGCACTCATACACACCACGATCACACACCGCGATCACACACACCGCGATTACACACGCCGCACTCATACGCACTGCGATCACACACCGCGATCACACACACCGCGATCACACACGCCGCACTCATACACACCACGATCACACACACCGCGATCACACACACCACGATCACACACGCCGCACTCATACACACCACGATCACACACGCCGCACTCATACACACCACGATCACATACCGCGATCATACACCGCGATCACACACGCCGCACTCATACGCACTGCGATCATACACCGCGATCACACACGCCGCACTCATACACACCACGATCACACACCGCGATCACACACACTGCGATCTCACACGCCGCACTCATACACGCCGCGATCACACACACTGCAATCATACACACCACGATCACACACCGCGATCACACACACTGCGATCACACACGCCGCACTCATACACACCGCGATCACACACACTGCAATCATACACACCACGATCACACACCGCGATCACACACACTGCGATCACACACCGCGATCACACACACTGCACTCATACACACCGCGATCACACTCATACACACTGCAATCACACACGCCGCCATCACACACGCCACCATCACACACACCGCACTCATACACACTGCACTCATACACACCGCACTCATACACACTGCGATCACACACGCCGGCATCACACACCGCACTCACACACACTCCGATCACAAACGCCGCACTCATACACACCGCAATCATACACACTGTGATCACACACACCGCGATCACACACGCCGCCATCACACACACTGCGATCATACACTCCGCACTCATACACACCACCATCACACACACCGCGATCACACACGCCACCATCACACACACTGCGATCATACACGCCGCCATCACACACGCCACCATCACACACACCGCACTCATACACACTGCACTCATACACACCGCACTCATACACACTGCGATCACACACGCCGCCATCACACACCGCACTCACACACACTGCGATCACAAACGCCGCACTCATACACGCCGCACTCATACACACTGCGATCACACACCGCGATCACACACGCCACCATCACACACACCGCGATCACACACACCGCACTCATACACACTGCGATCATACACGCCGCCATCACACACACCGCGATCACACACGCCGCCATCACACACGCCGCCA